TTTCCTGACCTCTCTGCCTTTCCCACTGTTGCTGACCTCATTACGCACCTCCGCACTAGTGACACTCGCTACCGCGCCGCCCTTCCTGCTGAGTTCTGCGCTAAGAACCCCCCCCCCATGTACATCGCTCTCTACTACGTAGTCGCGCGCCTCCCTGACTCCCTTCGAGTCGTCAGGGACCACTTTCTCGCAGTCTGTCCCACCACCCTCTCCGTCGACCTCCTCGAGAAGGCCCTCCTCGCAGCGGAGAAGAGCATAGTCGCTGTAGGTGCTTCTCGTGGTGACCCTCGCACCCCCATCTTTGAGGGGTGCTCTCCTTCCCCCTTGCTGCCCTCTGTTGCCTCTGCTGCTGCTGCCGACCTGCTTGGTCTAGAGTCGGTCGGCGCGGCGTCCGCCCCTAGTGGGAGACGTCGCTCCAGCAAGGGCAAGGGGGGCAAGGGCGCGGGTGGAGCTGGAGGGGGCGGTGGCGGTGGCGGCGGTGGCGGCGGAGGGAGTGGGGGTGGCGGCGGGACTAGTGGCGGGGGTGGTGGTGGTGGTGGCGGCAGCGGCGGAGACGGTGGTGGTGGTGCCAGCGGTGGTGGTGGAGGCAGCGGCGGAGGTGGAGGCGGTGGAGGCGGCAGCGGAGGAGGCAATGGTGGTGGAGGGGGTGGATCTGGTCGGGGTGGTACCCAGCAGCGTAGCGGCGGTGGTGGTGGCCAGCGCTCGCAGCGGCAGCAGCAGCAGCGCTCTCGGGACATCCCTTCGCCTCAGCAGCTTCGTGAGTGGTACGCTGGGCGTCAGAGGGGTGGGGGTACTGGTCCCTGCACCTACGTTCTTCGTTCCGGCGACCGCGCGGGTGAGCAGTGTGGGGGTGCCCACGCGACCCAGCGCTGCTTTGGCCGCCTGACGGACGCCTGGCGTCAGCAGTTCCCTGGGGCTAGTGAGATCCCTCGCTGGGATGAGCTTCTCAGGGCTGGTGTAGCGATCTTTGATCTTGATTTTGATGCTATCCTTACTGCTATGTATGTTGTGGATTAAAGTGAGGAGAATGAGGGTTACCGCTGTTTCCAGCCCGACCCGGGCATTGGTCCTGCTGCGCTAGGTGCTTGTGAGGCTGCTGCTCTAGGTGCCAGTGCGTCTGCGCTCTCAGGTACTGGTGAGACTGCGCTCTCAGGTACTGAGTCGTCCTCGTCCTCCCTCACTTTCACACTTGACTCCGGAGCTTCTCGCTCCTTCTTTCGAGACCGCACTACCCTTACGCCGCTTGGCCGGCCGGTTGCGGTCTCCCTTGCTGACCCCTCTGGGGGTCCTGTCCTGTCTCACTTCTCCACTGTCCTCCCGTGTCCGGGTGCCCCTTCGGGCACCCTATCGGGTCTGTACCTTCCCTCGTTCTCTACGAACTTGGTGAGTGGAGCAGACCTGCAGGATGGGGGTGTTCACCAGTTCACTCCTGCGAGTCAGCGGGTGACCCACTGCACGGAGGCACGCACAGGCCGACACCTGGCCACGTTCTCGCGTCGGCCGGGGTCGAGTCTCTACACCCTGACCGTTGAGTCTCCTCCTGTCCCTGCGTCTGGTCAGGTGGCTGCGTCGGGTCAGGTACTTGCTGCTGCGTCCCGGTCAGGTCCTGATTCTGCCCCCTGTTCTTGTCGCCTCCTGTCTCACGAGACTCTCCTGTGGCACCACCGTCTTGGCCACCCCTCCTTGCCCCGTCTTCGGAGCATGGCTTCCCGTGTCCTTGTCTCTGGTCTTCCCCAGTCTCTCCCTCCTCTCCCCTCCGGGCCAGGACCTTCCTGTGTCCCCTGTGTCGAGGGTCGCCTCCGGGCTACTCCTCACTCCTCCCACTTCCCCCCGACAGAGGCTCCCCTGCAGACGCTTCACATGGATGTGTGGGGCCCAGCCCCCGTCCGTGGGCAGGGTTACGAGCGCTACTTCCTGTTGGTGGTTGACGACTACTCGCGTTACACCACAGTCCTCCCCTTGCGCAGCAAGGGTGCGGTCACTGAGGTGCTGATCGACTGGATCCGCGAGGCTCGTCTCCAGCTCAGGAAGAGCTTCGGCTCGGACTTTCCTGTTCTGCGTCTGCACTCTGACCGAGGCGGAGAGTTCTCTTCTCGCCTTCTGCGAGACTACTGTCGTGCACGGGGGATCCGCCAGACCTTCACGCTTCCGGACTCACCGCAGCAAAATGGGATTGCTGAGCGCCGCATTGGCATGGTCATGGATGTCGCTCGTACGTCCATGATGCATGCGGCTGCCCCCCATTTTCTGTGGCCGTTTGCGGTGAGGTACGCGGCGCATCAGCTCAACCTTCACCCCCGGGTCTCTCGGCCTGCGATGTCCCCAGCCTTGCTGTGGACGGGGAAGGTTGGCGATGCGTCTGTGTTCCGTGTCTGGGGATCTCGGGCGTTTGTCCGCGACTTGTCTGCGGACAAGCTGTCCCCTCGCGCTGCTCCCTGTGTCTTCCTCGGCTTCCCCACTGACGCCCCAGGGTGGCAGTTTTACCACCCCTCCTCTCGTCGTGTTCTGTCCTCCCAGGACGTCACGTTCGACGAGTCAGTCCCCTTCTACCGTCTCTTCCCCTACCGCACTCCTTCCCTCCCCCCTCCCCCGGACTTCCTTGTGCCGGTTCCCCCCCCGGTAGACCCCCTCCCCCCTCAGGTTCCTGACCCCTCAGGTGTGTCCCAGGTAGACGCCGTTGACCCGGTCGAGGTTACTGGTGACTCTGGTGCTGCTGCGGGTGCTGAGCCTGGGGGTGCTGACTCTGGGGGTGCTGTGCGCGGGGGTGCTGAGCCTGGGGGTGCTACTGCTGGGGGTGCTGGGCCTGAGGGTGCTACTGCGGAGGGTGCGGAGCCTGGGGGTGCTGAGCCGGGGGGTGCTGTGCCTGGAGGTGCTGGGTCTGGGGGTGCTGGGTCGGGAGCTGCTGAGCCTGGGGGTGCTGAGCTGGGAGCTGCTGCGCCTGGGGGTGCTGCGTCTGGAGCTGCTGAGCCTGGGGTTTCTCCTGCTGCTGCGTCTCGCCGGGAGCCCCTCTCTCCACATGAGCTGCGCGAGTGGTTCGCTCGCCGCTGGAGGCGTGCTGCTGAGTCTGGAGGTGCTGCTGGAGCTGGGGCTGGAGCTTCTTCGACCGTCGAGGGTGCGGGTGCTGCCGGTCCCGGAGCTGCTGGACCTGCGGGTCCTCCTGGAGCTGGAGCTGCTGAGGGCGTTGGTGCTGAGCCTACTGCTGCTGGTCCTGCCGCTGGAGGTGTGGGGGGCGCTGGTGCTGTCGCTGAGGGTGCTGGTGCTGTCCCTGCTGAGTCTGGAGCTGCCGCGCGGCCTCGGCCGTACTTCGTTCCGCTCCTGCAGCAGGTTCTTGGTCTTTCTCCTCCAGTAGAGGGTCCACCGCCTGTCCAGTCGCAGTCCCTACTGGAGCCTTCCTCTCCACTGCCTGCTCCCTCTCCTTACACTGGTCCTACTGGAGGTCTTGCTGAGCGTCGTGAGCCTGCGTCTCGTCCCGCGTCGCCTGTTCGTGCTGCTCGCGCTAGTGGTCGCAGTTCGCGTCAGCGTCCTCCTCCTGTCCCTGGCACGCACCGGATGTCTTTGCGTCCGTCCACTGCTCCTCTGCGTGCCCCTTTGCCTTCTCCTCCTGAGTCCTCTCTTCCTGCGCTTGCCGACCCTGAGTCGGACTCTCTTCGTGCTGCCAGTCCTACTGTCACGCGTCTGCTTGCTACTGTCGTCACTGACCCCTCTTTTGAGTCCACTGCTGCGTCTGCTCTAGTCGCTGAGCTCGTCGACTTTGCTGCTCGCTGTCGTCTCGACTACGCTGCTAGTCTTGTTGCTGAGTCTGCGTCTGTCTGTCCTCCGTCCGTCGGGGGTGAGTGTGCTCTTGGCACGGACGTCCTAGAGGACAGGCAGGAGGAGTTACAGTGTCTAGCGGCTGCTTCACCTCATCTCGCGTCTGTACTGCTTGCCCCTGAGGGAGACCCGGATGCACTAGACATCCCGACTCCGCGTTCTTACGCGGCTCTTGGGTTTGCTCCTTCTACGGCATTTTTACTTCACACCGACCTCGTCTCGCTCCAATGGAATGACGTACAGTTCGAGGAGAAGGCAATGTGGCTGCTCATTCCGCACTCCAAGACGGACCAGGAGGGGAGGGGAGTCTGGATCCCCGTGGCGGCAATTTCAAGCCCATACTGCCCGGTGAGGTGCACGCGCGCATTCATACACATCGCAGGCCTCACAAAGGTGCCCCATGGACCGCTGATGAGGGTTTTCCCAAAGAACTCACAAGCCACACCGAACGACAAATCGCCATCCTACGTTACGATCAGAAACTGGTGCCTCGCAGCCGGCAGGCAAGCTGGACTGGATGTCGCGCACATCGGAACCCACTCATTCCGCAAAGGTGCAGCCACTGTAGCGGCGAGCCTCGGAGTTCCTGACCGGCTCTTCAAACGCATGGGCCGATGGCGCAGCGATAGCGCGAAGGAGATGTACGTTACAATCGCGCAGGATCAGCTCATCTCCCTCTCTACGCAATTGCAGGATCCTTCGACGGCTCCCTCGCCCGCTACGCATCAGCTATCCATCGAACGCCACCGGCAGCCCCGACTGCACTTGCCTCAGAAGACCCATATGAAATGATAACGCTGCCTTTGCCAGTCAGCCTAAGTACACTTTCACAATATGATAATTTTTGAAAGTGTAATGAAATGTAACACTTTCTAAAATTTTGTATTGTGAAAAGGGGTACGTGGCCAACACAGCAAAGGTAGCGCCGAAGCGTTACTCACCCTCTTTTGCCTACAAAAGAGGGACGTGGGGACATTCGTCCCCACCCACGTTTTCATTTTCAAAATTGTAGTTCTAATTTCCCACCCGCCCACCCATTTGTGTATGCTGTTATGTAGACATATATAAGACGAGAACGATGTACTACAACCCATATGAAATGATAACGCTGCCTTTGCCAGTCAGCCTAAGTACACTTTCACAATCTAGCTGAAAGCCAATGTAGGGCTCACTCCCCTTTTTTGCCCCTCTCATCCCTCGCTCGCCGCCACAGACTTTGCCGAAGCAATTCGGCGCAGAGCAGCAGCTTCTCTTGGCATCGTGGCATCCACAAACGCTGAGAACCTCGACGACCTCTCCTGCAGCAGCGCCGCCGGCGAATCAAGCTCCGCCACCTGTCCATCCTCCAGCAGCATGACCCGGTGGCAGTCCACAATGGTGTGCAGGCGGTGGGCGATGGTGATCACCGTGCACGCTGCAAACGCCCCTCCCCTCACCGCTGCCTGCACTGCTGCGTCTGTTGCCGTGTCCACATTCGATGTGGCCTCGTCCAACACAAGCACATGCGAGCGCCGCAGCAGCGCGCGTGCCAGGCACAGCAGCTGCCTCTGCCCCACACTCAGGTTCCCGCCGCCCTCTGCCACCTCAGCGTCGAGCTGACCTGGCAATGCCCGCACGGCATCCGCCACACCTGCTTGCGTCAGCGCCTCCCACAACTCCACATCTCCTCGCAGCCCTCCCCCGTCGCTTTTCCCCTCCTGATGTCCCCCCCTCCTCACATTCCCGTCCCCTTCCGTGTCCCCTGCCACCGCAGTGTAGGGGTCGAGGTTCCAGCGGATACTGCCGGAGAAGACCACCGGGTCCTGTGGCACCAGGGAGAGGCGCGACCGCAAGTCCCACAGCCCGATGCTCGCGGCATCAATGCCGTCGATCACTATCCGCCCTGCACTCAGCTCCACTATTCGATACAGCGCCATGGTTAGTGTCGTCTTTCCGCTGCCCGTGCGCCCGCACACTCCCACTTTTTCACCTGCCCGGATGGAGAAGGTGAGTCCTTTCAGCACAGGAGCCAGCTCCGGGCGGTACCTCACCACCACTCCCTCTGCTTCTATCACTCCTTGCTGCGGCCAGTCCGCAGGCGGGCGGCGAGATTCGACCACATCTGGTGCCTCGGTGGGCAGAGTGGTGTACTCGAGAATGCGCTCGACAGCGTTCATCTGCGACTCCAGCTCAGCATTCATCCTGACCATCCAATTCATGTACCCCGTGATCGATAGCGCACTCGTCAGCGCCAGCCCTGCAAAGCCAGCAGCCCAAGAGCCCGTGCTGCTGCTGCTCCCCCCTCCACCAGCTGCCGCCGCGGCTGCAGCTGCAGCAGCCACGCCACCCACCACGCAGAAGCACGCGGTGGCAAACACGCTCGACGCGCCGATCAGCTCCAGACGCAGCCCGAGCCAGCGGTTGGACGCCATGGCTGCGAGGTAGGCCTGGGAGGCGCGGTCGAGGTTGAGGCTGTTGCGCGCGGAGAAGGCGCGCTGGCGGCGGAAGGCACGCACGGTGGAGAGGCCGGTGAGGGTCTCGCTGAAGTGCGCGAAGATGGGCGAGCGGGCCAGCGAGTCGATGCGCTTGAGCTCACGTGAGGCGGCGATGTAGACGGTCTGGATGCGGCGGTAGAGGAGGAGCAGCGGGATGAGTGGCAGAAGAAAGGGCGGCGTGACGATGACTATCACCACGATGGCAAACACCACCTGCCAGGGGAAGAGTTGGGTGGGGTAAGAGAAGTGGGAGAGGGGGAAAGAGAGGAAATGTGGGTGGGCGGAGAAGTCAGGAGAGGAGGCATGTGAAGATTGAAGGCATGGTGACAGAGTAAAAGACCGAGCCATAATGGATGGAGGAAGGTGCACTTGGCATTCACCAGCTGCATTTGCAACGTTCCATAGTTCAGCATGTGGAGTTAGCGGAAGCAGACCTGGAAGAGGCAGGAGAGGTAGGAAAGCAGCGTGTCGGGCAGCTGCAGGTCCATCTGCTCCATGTCCCGCGTGAAGCGGTTCAGCAGGCGGCCTGATGGCTGTGAGTCAAAGAACGCCATGGGCAGGCGCAGCACTCGGGCCAGCAGGCGCGAGTGCAGCGAGCGTGCTGCTGTGAGGCAACCCAAGGCAAGCAGCACCCCACGGAGGGAGGAGAGGAGCCCTGTGGCCAGAGTGGCGAGGCTGTAGACGAGCTGGTGCGAGGAGAGAGGGGGCAGGGGAGAGGGGAAAGAAACCCACTGCCTGGTGAACAAATTGATTGTGACGATGAAAGCAGACAGAGAGCAATCAGGCTGGTGAGAAGCAGAGGGACAGAAACAAGCTGTGGCTGCCCAACTCAAATCCTGGAGCAGCGGAGGGTACGGGCGCAGAACATGCGGAAGCAGGCTTCACAAGACAAGAAAGAATGGAGGCGAGGGGTGGGGCAGGAGCAGCAGGGGCAGGGCAGGAGGCGTACGAGGAAGAAGGGGGCGGAGGAGGAGCCTTGGGAGGTCTTGGCGGTCCACACAGCGAGCCAGGCATCACTGGCCACTTTGAGTGACTGCGACACCCCGAACACCGCCAGCACCAGCACTGGCATGAGCCACCCCGCCCGCCCGCCCCACGCCCTGAGGTACTCCCAGTACACGCCTGCTGCCACCCCGCCCTCTGCTCGCCCCTCCTCCTCCACCAGCTGCCCCACCGCCCTCTGCTTCTTCCCACCCTCTGCACTGCCACCGCTGCTGCCTGCACTGCCACTACGAGCAGCAGGGGCGGTGGTGCTGGCTGCTGGATGTGCGGATGTGGGGGAGTGAGCCAGCAGAGGGCGTGTGAGGTCGTTGTTGTTGTCGCCTTCTGAAGCACCCCTGCTATTGCTCGTGCTTCCACCACCCACCCTCCCTGTTTTGCCATTGCCGCTGCTGCTGCTGCTGCTGCTGCTGCTGCTGCTGGGTGTATGTGCTGCCTCGCTGCTGCTCGCACGTGGCTCAGGTGCTGTCGCAGCAGTGACAGCAGTAGCAGGAGCAGCAGCAGGGCCGTCTTGCCATGTGGCCTTGCCTTGCTCATCCGGCTCCTGCTGCTTCTCGTCCCACAATGCCAAGTCCACGCCCCTGATGAGCCAACCACATGAGAGCATCCAAACAAGAAAAGAGAGCATGAGGAGACAATGAGTTGGGGCGTCTGCAGAATCGGGCCTGCCGGGCAGCATGGATTTTGATGCAATTTATTTGCCCGCGATTGGGAATCGCAATTGACAGCAACAACCGATGTTAAAGCGCCTGTGGGGTGGGCGTTGGTCTGAGACGCACACGGAGGAGCAGGTGCATGTGAGACAGGCATGCGAGAGAGGCATGCGAGAGAGGCATGCGAGACAGGCATGCACCGGACAGGTCTCATACACGATGTGCAATACCCCTGCTCCCACTGCTGCTAGCCGCTGTTCCGGGTCGAGCCTAGTGCTCGCCTGAGAGCTCACCTGGCCTGCAGCTCACCTGGCCTGCAGCTCACCTGGCCTGCAGCTCGTCAAATGTGCCCATGGCAGTCACACGGCCGGCTCTGATGACGATGATGACGTCAGCATGCGATGCATACTGCAGCTGATGTGTCACCAGCACACGCGTGGTCCCCGCCAGCTCACCGCAGATACACTCTGTGAACAGGTGGCGGCCTGCGAGAGGAGGATGGCGTACAGCACACGTGGCAGTTGGAGTAAAGAAGGCATGTGTGCAGTGATATGTTTCTCTCAAGAGACCGCACTGAATACTAAATCAGTGCTTAATGTGACCCACATGCTTGTTCCCATGCGCGCACCGTGCATGCATTTAGCACTGTGCTCGTGCGGCAATGCATTCAGCACGATCGTGCCATGACATACAATGCGCCGCACGCAACCGACCACGTGCCATGCACCCACGCCCACTCAGATGTCATGCTCATTGCTCATTGCCCTGCACGCACCCACATGAGTGTCAACAGCACTGAGCGGGTCGTCCAGCAGCACCACATCGGCCCGCGCATACACCGCCCTCGCCAGCGCCACTCGGTGCTTCTGCCCCCCCGACAGGTTGATGCCTGGTGGGTGGACGGGCGGGGGGGGTGGACGAGATGGCGTTGCAGGGAGGTAGCAGTGGAGAGGGGAGGTAGCAGTGGAGGGGGGAGGTAGCAGTGGAGAGGGGAGGTAGCAGTGGAGGGGGGAGGTAGCAGTGGAGGGGGGAGGTAGCAGTGGAGGGGGGAGGTAGCAGTGGAGGGGGGAGGTAGCAGTGGAGGGGGGAGGTAGCAGTGGAGGGGGGAGGTAGCAGTGGAGGGGGGAGGTAGCAGAGGAGGGGGGAGGTAGCAGTGGAGGGGGGAGGTAGCAGTGGAGAGGGGAGGTAGCAGTGGAGGGGGGAGGTAGCAGTGGAGGGGGGAGGTAGCAGTGGAGGGGGGATGTAGCAGTGGAGGGGGGAGGTAGCAGTGGAGGGGGGAGGTAGCAGTGGAGAGGGGAGGTAGCAGTGGAGGGGGGAGGTAGCAGTGGAGGGGGGAGGTAGCAGTGGAGGGGGGAGGTAGCAGTGGAGGGGGGAGGTAGCAGTGGAGGGGGGAGGTAGCAGTGGAGGGGGAGGTAGCAGTGGAGAGGGGAGGTAGCAGTGGAGGGGGGAGGTAGCAGTGGAGGGGGGAGGTAGCAGTGGAGGGGGGAGGTAGCAGTGGAGGGGGGATGGTAGCAGTGGAGGGGGGAGGTAGCAGTGGAGGGGGGAGGTAGCAGTGGAGGGGGGAGGTAGCAGTGGAGGGGGGAGGTAGCAGTGGAGGGGGGAGGTAGCAGTGGAGGGGGGAGGTAGCAGTGGAGGGGGGAGGTAGCAGTGGAGGGGGGAGGTAGCAGTGGAGGGGGGAGGTAGCAGTGGAGGGGGGAGGTAGCAGTGGAGGGGGGAGGTAGCAGTGGAGGGGGGAGGTAGCAGTGGAGGGGGGAGGTAGCAGTGGAGGGGGGAGGTAGCAGTGGAGGGGGAGGTAGCAGTGGAGGGGGGAGGTAGCAGTGGAGGGGGGAGGTAGCAGTGGAGGGGGGAGGTAGCAGTGGAGGGGGGAGGTAGCAGTGGAGGGGGGAGGTAGCAGTGGAGGGGGGAGGTAGCAGTGGAGGGGGGAGGTAGCAGTGGAGGGGGGAGGTAGCAGTGGAGGGGGGAGGTAGCAGAGGAGGGGGGAGGTAGCAGTGGAGGGGGGAGGTAGCAGTGGAGAGGGGAGGTAGCAGTGGAGGGGGGAGGTAGCAGTGGAGGGGGGAGGTAGCAGTGGAGGGGGGATGGTAGCAGTGGAGGGGGGAGGTAGCAGTGGAGGGGGGAGGTAGCAGTGGAGAGGGGAGGTAGCAGTGGAGGGGGGAGGTAGCAGTGGAGGGGGGAGGTAGCAGTGGAGGGGGGAGGTAGCAGTGGAGGGGGGAGGTAGCAGTGGAGGGGGGAGGTAGCAGTGGAGGGGGGAGGTAGCAGTGGAGAGGGGAGGTAGCAGTGGAGGGGGGAGGTAGCAGTGGAGGGGGAGGTAGCAGTGGAGGGGGGAGGTAGCAGTGGAGGGGGGAGGTAGCAGTGGAGGGGGGAGGTAGCAGTGGAGGGGGGAGGTAGCAGTGGAGGGGGGAGGTAGCAGTGGAGGGGGGAGGTAGCAGTGGAGGGGGGACGGTAGCAGTGGAGGGGGGAGGAATCGCAAGTGCTGGTGGCCCAAGTGCTGGTGGCCCAAGTGCTGGTGGCCCAAGTGAAGTCAGGAGCATCGCGAGGAAATCGAAGCATGGAAAGGCAGAGCAACGCGGAGAAGAAACGTTGGGAACTTCAAGAATATATGGACTGACTAAGCGGCTACCATTTAAGAAATGCTGGACCCAACGGTGTGCAACTCAGCACTTTACCCTAGCAAGCTTCAGTGTAACAGGGGGGAGAGGGTTTACTAGGGGAGAGGGTTTACTAGGGGAGAGGGTTTACTAGGGGAGAGAGGGAAGCAGAAAGAGAGAGGATTTACTGAAAGATGCCGCATGAATACTATATTATACGCATCATAACAGCCGACACTCATTTGCTGCTTCGGAGTCAACATGCTTTTGTTGGCCCGGCTCGACATGACTCAGAGCAAGCCATGAGAAACAACACACACACGCACCGCGCTCGCCGATCTCAGCCAGGTCACCGCCGGCCAGCATGGCGAGGTCGTGCCTCAGCGCACACACGTCTATGGCTCGCTGGTACCGCCCCTCGTCCACTGCGGCCGCTGTGTCGCCCGCCGCCCCCATGAGGATGTTGTCGCGCACCGTGGCATTGAGAATCCAGGGGTCCTGCCATGCATGAGGGATGGGTGGCGGATGGTAGAGCGGTGGAAGCGTCGAATCCATCGGTCCTGTCATGGCGTGGCGCCATCACAGCATGGAGTGGTGAGGAGGGTGCACGTGGCGATGAGGAGGGTGCACGTGGCGATGAGGAGGGTGCACGTGGCGATGAGGAGGGTGCACGTGGCGATGAGGAGGGTGCACGTGGCGATGAGGAGGGTGCACGTGGCGATGAGGAGGGTGCACGTGGCGATGAGGAGGGTGCACGTGGCGATGAGGAGGGTGCACATGGCGATGAGGCTGGCACAGAGTTTGCCATAGCCTGCTGCGAAAAAACTACCTTTTGTCTCACCAGCCTGCCATGCAGCATGCGGTAAAACTCGCATGTCACCACATCACCATGCGCATGCATGTCACCACATCACCATGCACACGTGTCACCACATCACCATGCACACGTGTCACCACATCACCATGCACACATGTCACCACATCACCATGCACACGTGTCACCACATCACCATGCACACATGTCACCACATCACCATGCACACATGTCACCACATCACCATGCACACATGTCACCACATCACCATGCACACGTGTCACGACATGACCTCACCTGGCTGGTGTACGCCACGCGGCCTGCCACGGACACACTGCCCGCCACGCGAGTAATTTCCCCCAGCAGCCCCGCCAGCAGTGACGACTTGCCCGCCCCTACCTGGCCACGCGGGAGGAGGTGGGGAGGATGTGAGGGGGAATGGGAGGTAGAGGAGAGGCGCCAAGGTGCTTTTCAGAAGCGCCTCCTCTCGCCTGACTGATTCCCTTCCCCCTAGTCCCTGACTGATTCCCTTCCCCCTAGTCCCTGGCAGGCAGAGATGACTTGCCGGCAGCCACATGCGAAGAGGAGAGGAGAGGACGGTAAGAAGCCAACAGAGTAGAGCGGATAGAGCGGATGACGAGTGAGGTTGGGAGCGAATGTGCATGAGGTGAGCTCACCTCGCCCACCACCATCACAAGCTCACCTCGCCCACCACGATCACAAGCTGCCCTGGAGGAATGTCCAACGTCACATCACATAGTGCCAACGCCCCTTCTCCCCCCTCCCCCCCCCTTCTTCCCTCCCTGCTTCCCTCCCTCCTCCTTTGCTTCACATGCACCTATGCCATTCGCACCCACTGCCACAGCACTGCCACTGCCACCGCTGCCACCAGCACCAATAGTGCTCGAATCATTGCGGCCACTGCCATCAGCATCACTGGCGCTCTCCACTTCGCCTGCCCCACCTCCCCAGGAGAAAGAGGCATTGCAAAGCTTTATGCTACCCTTCTGGCTGCCCGGCTCCTCTTCCAAAGGAACGATCTCGGGCAGCAGCAGAAACTTTTCAACACGGCCCGCGGAGACCTTGGCTTGCACGTAGTCGTTGATTTGATCGGGAATCATGGCGAGGGGGAACCTGCAATGCGCGGCGCGTGCAACAAGGGTGGAGCACGCAAGGAGGAAGGGGAGGTGGGAGGGAGGAGTGGGGGTTGGGACGGGGGTGTGTGGGCATTGGCCGATGAGGATAACAGTAGCAAGGGCCTCTTGAATGACTGTCTGGGCAATGGTGAATGGAACAGAGAGCAACCCCACTTGAGTTCGTGGCACCTGAGCCACGGCTCAGTGCGGAAGGTACTAGCTGGAAAGGATCAGCAGCAGGTATTAGTGCCACCTCGCCTCACCCCACCCAGGCCAAACCCACCTCACCCCAGGCCAAACCCACCTCACCCCAGGCCAAACCCACCTCACCCCAGGCCAAACCCACCTCACCCCAGGCCAAACCCCCGTCACCGTTGACACAGTGAAGGGAGGCAGGCATGAGGGCGAGGGGGGCGCACCTGAGGAGGTTGAAGAGGGCGAGGGCGGGGAAGGCGACGTCGGCAGTGAGCGGGCGGCCGAGCAGCACATAGGCGGCGAGGGAGACGACACTGACGACCATGGGCGTGAGGTAGTACACGAATAGCCCCATGGCCTCTGGTGGTGGTGTGTGGGGGTGGGGACACAGGAGGCACAGGGAGCATGGAGCCACGGACCGGACGAGCATGGGTGTGATGTAGTCGGCGAAAAGGACCATGGCCCCCATGCATGGCCCCCATGCATGGCCCGGCTGTGGTGGGGGACAAAGGGGAACAAGGGGGCAGAGGGGGCAAGGAGGTAAGGGAACAAGGGTGCACGTAGGCAAGGGAGGCATATGCAAATAAACAGCATGACTTCACATGGCAGCTACTGGCATGACTTCACATGGCAGCTACTGGCATGACTTCACATGGCAGCTACTGGCATGACTTCACATGGCAGCTACTGGCATGACTTCACATGGCAGCTACTGGCATGACTTCACATGGCAGCTACTGGCATGACTTCACATGGCAGCTACTGGCATGACTTCACATGGCAGCTACTGGCATGACTTCACATGGCAGCTACTGGCATGACTTCACATGGCAGCTACTGGCATGACTTCACATGGCAGCTACTGGCATGACTTCACATGGCAGCTACTGGCATGACTTCACATGGCAGCTACTGGCATGACTTCACATGGCAGCTACTGGCATGACTTCACATGGCAGCTACTGGCATGTACCCTGTAAGGCCTCCATGTGACATCTCAACAAATGGGTTGTAAATCGAGCCATGCACAATTTGAGTTGGAGCTAAGGCGAAGCAAATGAAGCAGGACACATGCGCATGTCGCAGACACAATGGCGGCCAGGCCGTGGGTGCGAATGTGGTAGTGTGCGAGCAGAGCAGACCTCGATGGGGCACAGCACAGCACCCACCCGTGCATCACAAACCCGGGGCCAGCAAACCCACCCACCCAGCAGCACGGACACAGTGATCTCCTTCATCTCCTCCGCCCGCCTCGCCTCTATGCGCCCTTTGAACAGCGCCTCCCACCCGTTGAGCTTCACGGCGCGCACGGCCCCCACGGCCTCGGAGAGCAGGCGCACACGCGCATCGGTGCGCGCTATGAGGCGGTGCCGCACCGCGGAGAGGCGCCCCATGAGCACCCCGTTGAACGGCATCAGCAGCAGCATGGTGGCTAGCCCCGCCAGGGCTGTGACAGGGAGGGAGGAGGAGGGAGGAAGGGGGGAAAGGGGTTAATGAAATCCCCACCAGCTCTGTGCGGATGGGGTTGAGGAGGGAGGGAGGAGAAGAGGTAGGGGCGTGCGGAAAGAGGGGAGGGGTGGGGAAAGGAAACATTGGGAGAGGGGGAAAGGGAATGGGGAGAGGATATGAGTGCACGGAGGCAGTGCAGCCAAGCTGACGAGCCTCTTAGCCGCATTGTCTAATGGCACTACAGCAAACTAGGCCCACTTCTAAGGCCCACTTCTAAGGCCCACTGTAAGGCTTGCCATGCAGAAGGAACGTAGAGTGTAAGTGCAGTTTGGCAGTGCGGATGGGCGATAAACAGGAAGGAGAGCGAGGTGAGGTAAAGGTTAGGGGAAGCAGCGAGAAGGAAAGGACGGAAGGGGTGGGTTTGGGGGCACTCGGGTTGAAGCGAGGGTGCACGAGCAAGATGGTTGTCATATGTAATAAGAGAGAACCGGAAACAAGGCGAGCGGGCTGACAGAAAGGGCTGGCTGGTGAATTGCCACGAGGCTCGTTTTGGGCATGCGGTCATGCTCACAGTGGGAGCATCAGGTATGTTGATAGCATGTCGTGATGCCATCGTATCATGGTGGCATGGTGTGGTGGGATGGCAGAGGTAGCATGGTGATGGCATGATCATTCTGGCATGATCATTCTGGCATGATCATTCTGGCATGATCATTCTGGCATGATCATTCTGGCATGATCATTCTGGCATGATCATTCTGGCATGATCATTCTGGCATGATCATTCTGGCATGATCATTCTGGCATGATCATTCTGGCATGATCATTCTGGCATGATCATTCTGGCATGATCATTCTGGCATGATCATTCTGGCATGATCATTCTGGCATGATCATTCTGGCATGATCATTCTGGCATGATCATTCTGGCATGATGATAGCAGGGCGTGGTGGCGTGGTGGTTGTGTCATGACATGGCGTGGGATTTACAACGGATGGTATGAGATGCAGGCCATGGTGTGGTATGGCATGAGATGGCATGAGAGGCCATGGCATGGCATGCGATGCCATGGCATGGCATGGCATGGCATGGCATGGCATGGCATGGCATGGCATGGGATGGCATGGCATGGCATGGGATGGCATGGCATGGCATGGGATGGCATGGCATGGCATGGCATGGCATGGCATGGCATGGCATGGCATGGCATGGCATGGCATGGCATGGCATGGCATGGCATGGCATGTACAGAATTGGATAATGGACCCACCAGGGATGACAGAGAGGAAGCGAAAGAGGAAGGCCAAGGCACCTGGTGGACGGGGATGAGGAGGGGTGGTGGAGGGGAGGGGTGGTGGAGGGGAGGGGTGGAGGGTTGCAGTGGTCAAGAGTGGAAACAAAGAGGGCTGGTGGGTCCGTGCTTTCGCGCTCCCGCGAGCAGGCGAGCAGGGAAGCACAGGTGACATAAGACCTCAGGACGTGGTGAAAGTGCAAATATCGCAGGATCGTCTGCATACATCGCAGGATCGTCTGCATATATCGCAGGATCGTCTGCATATATCGCAGGATCCTCTGCATATATCGCAGGATCGTCTGCATATATCGCAGGATCGTCCGCATATATCGCAGGATCGTCCGCATATATCGCAGGATAGTCTGCATATATCGCAGGATCGTCCGCATATATCGCAGGATCGTCTGCATATATCGCAGGATCGTCCGCATATATCGCAGGATCGTCTGCATATATCGCAGGATCGTCCGCATATATCGCAGGATCATCTGCATATACCGCAGGATCATCTGCATATATCGCAGGATCATCTGCATATATCGCAGGATCATCTGCATATATCGCAGGATCATCTGCATATATCGAGCCCCACAATCGAGTGGGCAGATCGATTGGCAAAACGAGGCGACCGCGACGTTGCAACGATCGCACCTGAGAATTGACGGATCTCTCGCGATCAGTGATCAGTCGCATTCACACACTGTACGGAAATTCTGGCCAAAAAGCGTTTTGTAGCATGGTTAGGTTACAGCCTAGTACATAGGGTAACCAATCCGCGCATCGATCGCGACTGATGATGGATTGTCTACTTTCACCGCGTCCTCCAACACATCCCCAACCCCGCAAGCCCCTCCAGTGAGACGCCTCCCCATGGGCAGAGCAGCCCCCCTCACCGATGATCTGCAGGGGGCCGCTCCACACGATGTGCAGATAGATGCACAGCTTCGCCAGCTTCTCCGCATCGTTGCTCTGCAGATTCACCTGCTCAGGTGGAAACAGCAGAAGCGGTTGCAGCACAGGGCTTGAGTTGAGAGCAGTGTTGTGGAGGTCCCTGCGTGCAGGTAAACGGGTCAACAACCAGATGACCACTTCACTTTGAGAAGAGAGTCAACATGAGGAGTGTGGGAGGGAGATGTGAGAGCGTGGGAGGGCAGGCAGCGATCTGAAGCATGTCATGGAGCAGAGCAGAGGCATCATTTGGTGCCACATGGCTCGCTGCCACAGGCCCGTGTGAGGGGGGCAGAGGGACGTACAATCTCCCCCAGGCTGGTGGAGTGGCGCGCGGCAGCGGAGATGCGCAGCGCCTTGGAGTAGATGAGCGCCACCAGCGCCGTGCGCACCTGGTGGCCGCGCACCATGTCCATGTCGTGCGCGGAGTGGGGGAGGGGAGGGGGGGTGGGTAAATCGGGCGTGGAGTGGGTTGCATGGGGATGCGGTATGGAAAGGGTAGAGCGGAGGACGTGATGGGACGAGGCAGGGGATGCGGTTGCACAGGGGTGGAGTGCGGTGGGAGAGAATGAAAATGAAATGGAGTGTGAGTGAGAGGGACGTACAGCTGTATAGGAGAAGAGGCATGCACGTGGGAGGAGAGGAACGCACATGGGAGGAGAGGAACGCACATGGGAGGAGAGGAACGCACATGGGAGGAGAGGAACGCACATGGGAGGAGAGGAACGCACATGGGAGGAGAGGCGGTAGAGGCGGTGGAAGTACTGATGGGCGACGAGCGACTGCCCCACGTTGCACGCCAGCAACACCCCTGCTAGCAGCAGCCCCGGCAGCCACGCTGGTAGTGAAGCGGCCACTAACGAGGATAAGTGCGAGGAGGAGGAGGAAGGGAGTGGGTGAGTTGAGGAGTGTGTGAGGGGGCCCGTGAAGCCAAGAGTGGCGTTGGCGATTGGGCTCTGGGTGTGGGGAGGCGCTTGAGGGACGAGAGACACGAAAGGGAGGAAGATCCAAGCGAGGAGTTGCGGTGCTGGGGGGAGAGATGGGAGTAGGGTAGTGACAGGGATCGTGGGGTGGGTGGAGGGGGCGGAGAGGAGTGAGCGGTGGAGGGAGGGTGTGAGGGTGGAGGGGAGGGGGAGCGAGGAGTTGCGGAGGAAGAGCGAGGGACCAAGGAGGCCTTCGGCTGAGCTGTTGACTGCTGAGTGCGGGGGCGCTGTGCTGACATGGAATGACGTCATGCTGAGGTGGAGGATGATCTGCTGCAGCAGCAGCGGCGAGGCGAGCTGCAGCAGGTCGTGAATGAGCTTGAGTGCGCCCGCTGCCATGAAGGGCCGCACGAATGTGCTCACCAATGCACGGGGCAGCGAGGGATGCCTGGGGGCAGGGGGGAGAGATAGGGGGCAGTGGGTGGGAGAGGGGGAGGGAAGAGGGAAAGAGGGGGAGAAAGGGGGGAGGGGGAAAGCGGAAAGAAGCAGTCTTGAGGGGCAGAGAGTGGCGAGGCGAGGAGCAGGTGGGAGCAGTGGAGATTCCAGAGCGCCCGCTGCCACGAAGGGGCGCGCGAATGCGCTCGCTAGCGCGAATGCGCTCACTAGCACGAATGCGCTCACTAGCGCGAATGCGGTCACTAGCGCGAATGCGCTCACTAGCGCGAATGCGCTCACTAGCGCGAATGCGCTCACTAGCACGAATGCGCTCGCTAGCGCGAATGCGCTCACTAGCGCGAATGCGCTCACTAGCGCGAATGCGCTCACTAGCGCGAATGCGCTCACTAGCGCGAATGCGCTCACTAGCGCGAATGCGGTCACTAGCGCGAATGCGCTCACTAGCGCGAATGCGCTCACTAGCGCGAATGCGCTCACTAGCGCGAATGCGCTCACTAGCGCGAATGCGCTCACTAGCGCGAATGCGCTCACTAGCGCGAATGCGGTCACTAGCGCGAATGCGGTCACTAGCGCGAATGCGGTCACTAGCGCGAATGCGGTCACTAGCGCGAATGCGGTCACTAGCGCGAATGCGGTCACTAGCGCGAATGCGGTCACTAGCGCGAATGCGCTCACTAGCGCGAATGCGGTCACTAGCGCGAATGCGGTCACTAGCGCGAATGCGGTCACTAGCGCGAATGCGGTCACTAGCGCGAATGCGGTCACTAGCACGCGGGCCAACAAGTGACGCCTGGGAGCAGTCAGGTGAGGGAGAGAGGGGACAGGGGGTGAGGAGGAGAGGGGGAGATGGGGAGCAAGGGAGATGGGGAGCAAGGGAGATGGGGAGCACATATACACACAGTATGCAAATGATATCCACACACATATCATGCATATACATGAAGATATACATACATCCAATACAACTCTGCTGGAGCACCTGTGCGTGGCGTTCGTCTCGGCCTGCCACGCGGCCCTGAGCGAGGGTGCGACGGCAGCAGTGGAGTCGCGCGGGCAGAGGGGCGGCAGGTCGGGCGCGTGCAGCACCTTGGCGTTGCCCAGCCGTATCAGCGGCCCCACCCACGCGAAGGTGAGGCGCGACCACAGCGACGCCTCGTCCTCCGGTGACGGCTGCAGGGAGAGAGGGGATGGCAGGAGGGGGGGAGGAGGAAAAGAACGTGAGGCGGATGAGCGGATGAGCGGTTGAGCGGTTGAGCGGTTGAGCGGTTGAGCGGTTGAGCGGTTGAGCGGTTGAGCGGTTGAGCGGATGAGCGGTTGAGCAGATGAGCAGATGAGCGGATGAGCGGATGAGCGGATAAGCGGCCCCACCCGCGCGAACGTCAGGCGCGACCACAGCGACGCTTTGTCCTCCGACGATGGCTGCCGGGAGGACGGATCAGGGGAGGGGCGAAAAGGGCGGGGGGTTGGGAGTGTAGGGGGGGGCGGAATGGGAGGTGAGCTGTGACTCTTGAGAAACGGGGGGCGATTAAAGGAAACTGCTGCCTCCATTGCTGCTCACGCCTGTGGCTGCTGGCTGGATAGGCGGTGATTGGCGGTGATAGGCGGTGATTGGCGCGGAATCAAAGAGGTCGCCACTTGTCCTGTTCCGCATCTCTTCCCGCTTCGGCTGCCTTACCCCTGAGATGCCATCGCGGCCGTCCGTCGAGGCCGCCATCGCGAATCAACGGCGGCTCAACCTCCTGCCGCCAGTTGCTTTTGACGATCCACAATTCGACTCGCAAAGCCGACAATTATCGCTTCCTCACGCACGAATCCCGCTCCCGAGTCGCAGTTGCGATCGTCACGGTCGCTGATTGATCGTTCGCGCGGCGGAAGCGACGACGAACCTAATTTCCTCGAGTAGTTAAACTGCTCATTACACTTGATCGCCGATAGCACCGCAAATGTCGCCAATGAGCCAACGGCCGACCTTCACCCGCCCCCCTTGTGTCTCAACTCGACCATGTATGGCGAGGGTTCAAAAGGGGCGCATTTAGATGAACTGAAGTACGTTGTGGGCTTCTGTACGCTTTACTGTACCCACACGATCGAGTGGTGTCGGTGCGGACACGTGTGGGTCGCGGGTGAAGATGACTCCACCAAGCTGATCGCATTTAAATTCTTGAGGAACATGGTATAAGTCTGCAGCATAGAGAAGATATCCGATACAGGAATCCAGTTCAGCCAGCATCTCTCCTTAAAACCGGAGTTGGGGCAAGGGACGTGAGTGGCGCGCGAACCAGGGTGGTGTCGCGATTTGTGGATGCCGATCGCAGAGCCTGAGTACCTCGCGTGTGTAACCAGATTTTGAATGCAACGTACGAAATGTTGAAATAACCGAAAGATTGTTATAAGCTTTCCGAAGGTTCTCCATCGTCGCGTCACTTCATAGCGAAGCAAGCGCCTGTACCAGTACCGCATTAGCTCATATAGAGCACGCGGAAGGTCGAGGGTCACCCGAAGGTCAACAGTCGAAGACAGTCGACGGTCGTGACCCTTGACTGACCAGTAACCGCGCATGGCAGTTACGAAGTGCAACATGGTAACTGTCCAGAATGGCAATTGTCGTGGTTACTGTAGCAATGCAATTCGGTTAATAAGGGAATGTAACTCTCAGAGTACATGGCTAGCTAGGAATGCTATTTATACCCTTGTACTCCTATCTTATAGTTATCTTGTTCTCCTTCAATTTATCAACAAGGTTATTACAGAGACTGCTCAGTTCTCTCTCACACACTTAGCATCATTATCCTATCCACTACGATCCTTCAGTTGTAACATCATGGTATGAGAGCTAGAGTGGATTATAAGGCCTGCTAAGTTCTTGTTCTCAATAGAACATCCTTCTTATAAATTACTCATTACATCATCTAACGATTCTGCATCACTATGGCTCCAGAAGGAAAAGCCACTGCAGACTCTCCGGGCCCACCACCAGCAACACCCACTGCACCATCAGCTGTGACCTCGGCTAGCGCTGCTCTTGTTGAGCAGCTGGTCGCCCGCATCAACGCTCTTGAGAGCCATCAGGCGATGAGCGTTGATGGCTCAAGCTATGCACGTGGAGTTGCTGGACTTCCTCTCCCTGGAGAAGACCGCCGCGTCAACTCCGAGAGATCATTCACGTTTGACAACTATCAAGCTTCAGCTCCTCCGCAAGACAGCCAACAACGAGCACACTCAGACACGATTGCAACTATGCAGACAAAATTCATTATGACATCAAAGCTGAAAACATAAGTTCCTTTCGACGGAAAGGACTTCTAAACTTGGAGCTTCGAGTTTGAGCTCCTTGCGACAACTGCGCAAATCTGGATATAGTACGACGGGAGCTTACCGTTTCCAACGGAAAGCACCATCCAAGAGAAGAACCAACATTACCACGAATCTCTTCTCGCGTACACCACTCTGCTCCGAAATCTCTCACCCGACGAACAGCTCAACATTCGCTCCTACAAGTCAGAGTGAGCGCCCGGGTACGCCTCCTGTGAGCACCTGCACAACTCATACATGGCAACAGATCCAGTTACTATGAGTCGCCTACTCAGCCAGCTCACATCGATCAAAATTCATCAAGGGGAGAAAGCGGGACCATATATCAACTGGTGTTGCAATCTGCGCGACCACATCAAGAAGTGCGGCGGATCAGTCCCAGACGACATGTTCATCTCAATGGTTCTCTCCGGCCTCGGACCTGACTGGCGTCAATGCCAATCCTTGCTCCGCGCTCGAGCAACCGTCTCCGAATCAGCCCTCTGCGCCACACTTCTCTCCGAGCAAAAGGAGATCGACCTGTACAACGAGAAGAACACCAAGCGAGATAAAGTAGTCTTCTACGTCGGAGCAACCGAAGGGGAGCAGCACTGAAAGAAAATAGCTTTCTGCAAGTACTGCAAGAAGCCTAGGCACACTATCGATCAGTGCTACAAGCGAAAGGCCGCCGACGAAAGGCGCAATAACCCTTCGAGCCTTCAATCCTCAACGGCTTCGACCTCTTCCGCCGCAACAACCACCGTCTCACCACCCTCTGTCGCAAGCACCTCGCAGACACCTGCACGCATTACGAAAAAAGGACAAAGGCAAGGGGACAATCATGAGCTGTATGGCTCGCCGCAACAGAGGATTTCGATACTACGATCGAATAACATTTCCGTCTGACGACCCCATTTGTCAAACATATATGCTGCTGATTGTGTATGCTGTAGTTGGGTAGCCCATATCGGGTACAACCCAAATTAGGGTTTGCTACTTGTACCCATCCTGTTGCTAGTTCATCCATTCCTCTTCGTTATTCTGACACCATTGACCCTGTTGCACCACCCAGGCAAGACAACGATCCCACTGCCCAAACCTGGATCGACGAACCACAAAGGTACCCTCCTGATTTAGAGCTACCACCACCGACACCAGAATCGCCTCCCAGCATCTCGGCGAACCGGTATTTCGCTCTCTCGCCATACATTGGCGAGAGGGATGTGGTTACGCCGGAAATCGCCAACATCGCGCGACAGAGCTGCGAGCACATCAACACCTGGTGCCTGGACAGTTACTGCGGATAGCACATGGTGGGATCCCCAACGTTAATCAGCAACTCCAAACGCATGCGTCGACCCTGCGATATCACAGTAGCAAACAACGGCACACTCAAAGCATACGACATCGGTGAAATCTTCCTTGAAGCTGACGACACAAGATTCACAATTCACATTGGTGACGTGCTCGTCACTCTAGATCTGCGGTACAACCTGCTTTCCTCGGCACAACTTATGCGGTGCGGAGTCGACATTCGAAGTAATTGCAAAGACAATACCTTCGAACTCTTCTATAACATACATCGGCAAGGCGATTGATGACGACGGGGTTTTCGTGCTGCAGTTCTCAGCGCAAGGTACCACCGGCGATTTTCACCGCACCCTACTACTAAAGATGACTCCTTCAGAGACACCGACCTGGTCACATCCCACTGAAATGGATCTTGAGCGTCCTGCCTCCGACGGCCTTCTACGACTGCGCACCGTTCTGACTCCCTCAACCTCCAACCCAGCTGAGACTGGACCTGCAACAATGGAAGAGGACAGTGGCACGTCAGCACATGAGAAATCACTCACAGAAGAAAGTGAGAAAACTGGAACTCAATCAGGCAGTCTCGGCCCAGCACTCGGTCCCTTGGGAGAAGTCCTAACGCAAGAAGAAGCAGCCGCCGAAGAACGGGGCACTGTCTCAGCAACAAAAGCAAGCGGCACCGCTGCCACCAAAGGCGGATGGGGATGGGGCACAGGAGGCGGGTGGAACTCCGGAGGCGGATGGGGTGCTTGAGGAAATTAGAACAAGAATGAATGTGAACTATGAATGAAGCGAGTACAAATATGCAACCCTAGTTGGGTTGTACCCCCTATGGGATACCCCACTATAGCCTACACAATAGCATAACCTATAATGTGGGGTACGTCGGGCATGGGGCTAGTGCTTGGAGGGCGGAGTCCAGTGGTCCTCACTGGGCACCCGGACGCTTCTTGGGCTGATGACCAGGCTACGCTGCGGTCGTCACAGGGTTACACCTTCAGTCTTGGTTCCGGCTCTGTTTCGTGGCGGGCTACTCGCTCGTCTTCTGTTCTCGGCTCCAGTTGTGAGGCTGAGATCTACGCCGGGGCTATGGCTGCCCAGGAGCTTCGCTGGCTCACCTACCTTTTGACCAACCTTGGAGAGCCGCCTCGTTCTCCTCCAGTCCTGTACGTAGACAACAAGGCCATGCTGGCCTTGTGTCGAGAGCAGCGACTGGAGCACATGACAAAGCACATTGCTCTCCGTTACTTTCTTGCTCGTGAGCTACAGCAGCGTGGACAGTTGCGGCTTGCGTACGTGGCCTCTGAGGCCAACACTGCTGATGTTTTCACCAAGGCACTTGCGCCTTGTGATCACCAGCGCTTCTGCACTCAGCTGGGTCTTGTGCCTGTCTTGCCTCACTTGCTCACTTCTTGACCTTGCTTGTACTGTCACATATATATACTCCTGCTCTTGCTTGCTTAGCCTCGTATATATATATATACATATATGTGCTCTTGCATGTGAACTGGCCTTTTGGCCTTTGAACTTGTGCTCGGAATGTGTGGTGACTTTGTGATCCACCCTGAGCTTTGCTTTGCTTTGCTTGACTGGTCTTGTGACCCCTTGTTCTCCCCCACTTTGCCTATGGGGGTGTGTCAGAACATTATAGCTTATGCTATTGTGTAGGCTATAGTGGGGTATCCCATAGGGGGTACAATCCAACTAGGGGGCTCGGGCGACTCGGGCGGCTCGGGCGGGTCGGGCGGCTCGGCTCCTCAGCAGCTCAGGCGGCTCGGGCGGCTCGGGCAGGTCGGGCAGCTCGGGCGGCTCGGGCGGCTCGGGCGGGTCGGGCAGCTCGGGTGGCGCGGGCGGTGTAGGGCCGTAGGGCCGCTGGTAAGGCTCGGGGCCGCAGCGAGAGGGGCGGCGGGGCCGCAGAGACGGGCGGCGGGGCCGTAGTGAGAGGCGGCGGGGCCGCAGCTAGAGAGGCGGCGGGGCCGCGGAGACGGGCGGCGGGGCCGCAGAGACGGGCGGCGGGGCCGAAGTGAGAGGCGGCGGGGCCGCGAAGAC